TTTTTTTTTTTTTTTTAAATTAAAAGAAGTGCTGGGAGGGTGGAGCCTGCCTCTGCCCTGCTACCGCTTGCCCAGCTGCCATGGTGCAGGGGGACGGCATGATGCAGGTGCAGCTTGCTCCACATGGCAGCAGGGCACAGGCCCCACTCCCAGCACTTGCACTGCGTGCCCCTCCTCCCCCCTACTTGAGTAATGCACCCCCCTGCCCTGCCTGGGCAGCTTGTCCCAGCCCCAATCCACACCTCCCCCAACCCCAACAGATTTACCAGCTGGAGGCAGTTGTCAGCTACCTTTTTAGTTTATGGCCAAATCTCTGAAATGCTTTGAATCATCCAGAGCTTTGGTCTCTCGATTTGATTTGGATTCAAAGATTTGGTTTCCATATCGAAACAGCTACTGAAGCTTTGCACAGCCCTACTGATTCTCCCTGCCTCTCAGATTAATGCTGGCTTTGAAGATAAGGTTGCAAGAGGCAACAAACAGGCTCGGCTACAGGTTCCATTATGCTAGGCTTAAGTCAATCTATGGAGAGAGTCTGTTGTTACAGCCTGTTTGTAGACAATCCTTCAGATTATAATTTCTCTTGACAAATTATTCTTGAGCTAAAGGATCAAAACAGAAGGGCAGGGGAGGAATACAGGAACGTTAATACCTAACAAATCAGTTTTAGATGCATTTAAGAGAACTGGGAAGGTTAGGATCATTTCTCCAATATCTATTTGCATACTACTTAGATATGTATCTTCACTGGTCTCTTATCATTTTTACATATGACAAAAACAGCGTACAGAACTGATCATTTACGTATAGCTTTCACAAGGACCAGAGACATCTGTAACACCTAAGTATGTTCATCAAAAATAAAGGACACACTGTGAAAAATCCTAGGTCTATGTACAAGTTTGGCAAACAAAAAAGGCACTAACACGAACTGGCCTACAATAGTATTGCTTTCCCTGTTATTTGCTGGAATTCACTCTTCAAGAATGCAGAATGGTAGAGCTTGTGATGAAGCCCTCATTTTGCATTTATGGATACCATAAACCTAATTGTATTCATAGCATCTACTATCTAGAAAACTGCAATATTAGATTCCACACAAAGACTATTTCTTATCTGGTTTGGGGGTGGAGGGGGGCATCAGTTCTTACAAACAGTCTTTAATGTTTACTACTTAGAATTCAAATACCATAATCAAGTTTTTCTCATTGTGAAAGTCTATGCTAACAGTGCATGGTTCAACATAGTGCATTTTAATTCATTTTTTCATACAGGATATTGAAGTTGTTACTTAGACCATGGGTGGCCAACCTGCCGTGCACATGTCCCAAGTGGCACAGGCAGTCCCTCTGTGGGACACAGCAACAGACTGGGGAGGGAACAGGCAGCAAAGCAGCAGATTGGGGAAAGAAAGAACACCAGTAGCACTTGGGCAAGGTGTGGGACTTAATTGTGGCATGCCTACCAAGGAGACTGACCCCTCTAGTGGCTTAAATTATGAGCTCATCAACCAAATAAAATGCAGATAAGTGTTCCATGTGCAAAAAGATGCAAGAGTCTGGGGAAACTAACATACGTGGCTTACAATAAAAGTCAGAGTCTTATGCAAAAATAACCAACCATAGCAATTTCCTCATCCCAACCCTTATGGCAGTTGAGGTAGAAAGGAGATGCCCTGGATAAAGGACCTGTGTTCCCAATTACTAAAACAAACCTTTAGTAAATTAAAGCAACTTTCAGTATGCTTGCCATGATGGGTAGTAATGCTAGGACAACTGAGGGCACAGAGCCTATTTTCTGTACCATCTCACCTCACATATGAACTGTGCACTCATTGAACACACTTTGGGATTAAAAGGAAAACAGACTGGTAATATGCATTTGCCTACACAACAGCAAATCATCTGTTTTAAGCAACAGGACTATTTTGCTTTTTAAATGCTCAGGTTAATAAGCAAAAACTATTTTCTACAATCATAAAGATCTGTATATTAAAATTTGTAGAAGTATTTCAGAACGTTAATTCAGTAGCTCACACTACAAGATTCAGCTGGGAACAAAGAAAAGGAAGTGATCGCTGATTTGGCTCTGATGATGAAAAACACATTCATTCACAAGTGTCAAGATACTCTCTTACCTCGTGGATTTGTATCCATCTCTCCAGACGTTAGGCCAATCAGATTTGGACGTTGTGTCTGTGTCCTTGTAAAGAACTGTCGGTACTGAGATCTACCTGCACCAGTAATACTAGGAGCTTCTGGGTTATAACCATCTGGCTCATATGTATCTATAAAGAATCAAAAGATAGAAATAAAAGGGGTTTCCAAGTAATTCAGAAGTTCTAGGTTGGTTGTATGGGCAATGTTCACAGTCTGACATCTAGAGTACTTGAATAATGCTACTGAACTTTTCTGTATTTGTTTGTTCATGTCATTTGTCACTGTGGCTGATAAAGTGTATGCATCAATACTTCATGCATTTTTCTGGTTAACTGTTAGTTCAGAAATTAAAGGAAAATTTAAACCACAAGAGTTGTTTTTAATGTAGAATAAAATGGCACTTCCATACATACATAGCACATTTCACCAAATTCGATTGTGTTCCACTGTCTCAAAGAGAACAAAAGGATATTAAGTCTCAGTACATGTTTGCAAGTAATAATTGATAATGTTATACTCCAACAATGTTTGTACAGTCTTCTTTCCTAGGGGCAGCGATTTTGTTTCACAGACAGCGCATGAGCACATGGACCACATTAAAATAAGTCTGCCAAAGGAAGTTGAAATACTGGATGGTTTACTTTTTCTTTAAGGATATTTACCTGCTAAAGCAGCCAGTAAAGATAATTTAACTTGCGATTAGCAGTTTGATTCCAGTAAGACATAAGGGGAGGGATAGACATTAGTAGGTAAGAAAAACTAAGTTGGAGAAATAATAAAGTCTGTCCTAAAGCTCAGCTCAGGGATGTGTCCCCCTCTACCAAATCTATAAAGGAAATACACACACAAAACTAGACTCGAGTAAACTACTGGAAAGCCTCCAGTTATCACTGTGCAGCCTAGAAGGCTAATTACTAAAGTGGAGCGATTAGTTCAACATTAAGTGTGCTTATAAAGCCCATTTCTCATTTTGCTGAGAATACGCCTCACTTGCACTATAAGCTCTAAAATATATTGTCACAGAATAAGCAAGAGTGACTTGGATGTTTGAAAAAGAAAGAAAGTTAGCTCTGGATTCTGCTGAGGGACGCCATTAAGCACATGTGAATTGTCCCACAGTTCATTTGATTTTTCACATATGACTGCAAGAGAACAAATCAGTGGCTGGTCTAATAACAGCAATAATTCAAGAGTATGACATGACGGTTTCCAAGAATGTCTTGGACAGCAGAATTATGTAGTGTCCCAGCCTCAATAATATCCTATGAATTAAGACAGACTCATCAATCATGAAAAGAAACCCTGTACCTGAAGGACATATCTTGGGGGGAGAGGGAGGGAGTGCACGGCATAAGCCACAAGAATTTGCAGACAAATGAACAAAGGTTTCAACAAGGTAATCAAGTGAACTGGTCACTTATATGCCCTTCAGAACAAGGAGAATCACTTGCAGGCTGAACTGGAGAGACTTTGAACAAGGTCCTAAAACACTCGCATAAAAAAAAAAAAAAAACAAAAAAACAAAAACCCTATGTTTGACTGTTAAAAAAATAATTAAAAATGGATATAAAAAAGTTAGAAAGATTACAAAACGTGGAAATACCAACAGACTTCGTAGCTGATGCTAGCTTTAGCTTAATGGTTTGTGGTTAGCTAATGATCAGATACCTGCTTTCAAGCATCCTACACAAGTAAGAGATACATAGAAGACTGACACATCCTCTGATCTTTTGTAGAATAATGATTAAACAACATAACTGAAGTCTTTTCTTTCTATCCTGCTCAGAATTACCAATGTATTTGGTCTACTTGACTTGTGGTTTACAATGTATTGTAGTCTACTTTGATACCAGTATGCATTTTACACATAACAAATGAAAATGTGCTGTAATAATAAGGAGCATGGGCTTTCAAGGGAGCTTTGCAATAAGGAGACTGGCCACTTTGTATTTCTCAATCTTAAGTTTAAGTGTAGATTTAAGTAAAATCTATGAAAACAACATTAAGACCGACAAATTTAATCCCCTCACTCAGGTTATTCATATTCCTTGAAGGTGCAAAACTCACTTCCCTTGGCTCAAGCCACGGTTGCACTGGTACGAGTAGGTAATGCCTAAATAAAACTCCCCTTAAATACTATTCTTTGAACAGTTATGTGATGCAATCATCTTTTGCACAATGCATGGAAGTATGGTATACAAAAAGAAAAAAAAGTCAGACTGGCCACTTTCAGTTTGGATAATTATCTCTATGCAACAGAAGGCATATTTTAATTTCACTTCATTCCAAGCATACTAAAAGGTTGTTTTCTTACGTTCAGATACTGTGTACAGTAGGTTGTGGGGTAAAGGAGGAGGTAGTCTTGCTCCCACTGGTGCCAGATTGGGTACTGTACTTGTCCCGGGCTGGTCACGATTATTTATGAGACTTGACTGTGTTAAAGGTGGTCCTATAACACCAGAAGAGAAAGAAAGAGATACTAGGGATAGAATTACCCTTGTATACATTTACAAAGTTTAAGATTTAAAAAAAAGCTGTAATCTGGTTTCAATGTAAAAAAAAGCCCCAAACATTCAACATATGATGCCACAGTTTGGTTATTTCTCTCTCCCCACCCCCACCCAAAGAAAGCTTAATGCTAAAAGGTAATTTTTTCCCATGGAAATAATCAGTTATTGTGAGGGCTTATATTTGGTACAGCAGCTTCTTCTTCAATTTCACCAAGGGAAAAAAAATCTTGCTCAGTGCAAGACCACAGTGGCAAGAAATCATAACTGAACTGTTTAGACTACTGTTCTCAGACAAGAACTACACAGAAAAGAAACCTTTTGTGAACAAGTAAGCATTTTTGTGTTTAAAGCATCCCATTTTCTTGGGTTCTTTTCAGCTCACTTCAGTTCAAACTAGTACCATATATTTTTTTTTTTAAAGTAATACAGAAAGACTTTCAAGCTTTAACTTACTTGGTACAGGGAGCACAACAGGAGGTGGAGGCTGTGGATGTGCTTGTGGAACTGGCATTCTCATATTGTGAGCAGGGCCTGGCATAGGAGGCATTAGCATGCCAGGAGGAGGAAGTCCTGGGGGTGGTGGTGGAAAAGGAATCATGCTTGGCAATGAAACTTCATCTACTACCAAAGGGTCATTTCCATGATCAAACTGGCAAAGGTCACCAAGGACACAAAATCCTCGCTCTGTAAAGACAGTAATTCTGTTACCCTTTGTCCATTTGAACAGCGATTACTATAAGAATTGTCTAGGCATTGGTATGTTGTTACTAAACAAGAGATACATTAAGTTAATATATTTCTGAATCAATATTATATCATGAAACAAAAGAAGTCCACACTAGAATTTAAAATGAAATAATTAGCACAGAGGCAAATAATCTCAACTCTTTTGACATCAGCATGAACATTTTATATGCTCTGTGACAGAAAGCAGAGAAATACCACCTGGTTTGTGTCAAGCATACACTATATATTCTTCTGAAGAATTGCTTCTGACTGAAGTATTTGCCAAGCCATGAACCCAGAATTGCAAGCAAACTTCATCTGTCCCCAGCCAGTGTCAGAAAGTCATCAGATTTTAAGCAATGGTTTCCAGCAAAATTAAATCTTCCCCAATAGTAAGAATGCATTTATGAACCTGTAACCTACGAGCAAGATGCCCCACGTACCCCTAAACATAATTTGCTGCCCACCTGCAGCAAAAAAAATTATATACATACAAACACACACACACACCTGCTCCCAGTCACAAAATATTACATAGGAGAGGTAAGAAATAAGGCACTAGGAAGAAGGTGGAAGATATACTAAGAACCTTACCATCATAATCTCGACACCTTCTCTTAGGTGGAGGGTTTCTACCAAATGAATTAGGAGCGTTATGATTGTTATAATAATTTGACCAGCTCTCTGTTGTGTTTTCAAGATGGTGGGCAGGTGCAATCACAGTAACAGCACTGGGAATAGACTGTGCAGATGAATACTGTTCAGTAGAGTTACTGGGCGACAAAGACACTGGGTTATATGAGCTCTCCACATCGTTCCTTTCACTCTTGAATTTGGATCTCTCTCTGTGCTCAGCTTTAACAACAACAATGAAGCAAAATAAATCAGGTTAGTTTTCATACTTTTGTTCAGTGCATCAGAGCCTTGCAAATAATGGAATGCCTAGATAGTTAATGAACCACACACCATAATAAAAAGAAAAGAAAAACAGTCCTTCAATCTATGTTCTATATGGTAGCTGTTCTTGCAAGATTAGATTTCTTAATACTAGAAGCAGATCCACAGCCAATGCATCAGAGGTTTTCATTAAAGAAAAAAAAGGCACAAACAATTCCCTTGCCTCAGTTCCTTCCCCAACCCATTTCCCTTAATTGTAAAGTAAAACATCTCTTTCCTCCAACAACAACAACAAAAAGATACCATTATATGGAAAATTGCCCCAAAATCCATTACTCTTCATTTGGTCAATCACTTCAGTTTCTGGATTCCCTGCCAGAGGCCAGTGGATCACAGGATACCAGTATTCCATTTAACGAGAGAAAAATCTTCCCCCCAAAATGGGAACAATTTACAGGACCAAATCAAGGTTAGTACATCTTCCCCAAAAGATACCAGCATCTCTGTTGACAAAGCTTACTATTGTTTATCCACAGCACAAAAATACCAAGGGCACATATCTACTGGAATACACCTGTGAATAAATTAAAATAGAGTTTATAAAAAAAATTAATTCCCTTAGCTATACAACTCCGAAGAGCAGCTCCTTAATTGCTTTATGCATCTACACCTCCCAGACAGTTCTTTAGTGAGCAGTGTGAAACGTTTAAAAGATGTCCAATTTCTATTCATATTACAATAAATCACTGCAACAATACTTTTACTCCTTACCGATAGTTCGGTTTGCCTCTCGGTCTTTGCTTCTACCCCTGCTGCGACTGCGACTTCGACTTAACCCTCTGCTTTTACTACGACTCTTACTCCTGCCTCTTCGCCAATCATATTTGTCTCTGTATAAGTCATTCCGATCGTAGTATCGGTCATAATCCCTCCATTTACCATCATCTCTCTTCTTCTCTCTGGTTCTATAAAATATGCATATGAAGAGGAAAAACAAGCCCTTGATCAAATCTGGAGTCATTAAAGGTCCATCATGTCTCTCCTCACACCCAACTTAGTGACAATCATATCTGAGACAGCATCCAGCCATACTACCCAGAAAATAAGGGTTTTCAAAATTAGGCTATTTGTAAAACTGAAGGGAGGAAAATACAAGAAGAATTTGGGAGGGTAAAAGGAGAAATGGACAGCAATAAAAGCACAAAACAATAAACTTCTGGAAAAGCTGATAATGTTGCATGTAAAAATTAACACACTACCCAAAAAACAAAAAAAGAAAATAAGACTGACAAGACTTCTATATCTTCAGTCACTCGCACACCATTATGTTCTCAGAGAAAAACAAATTCTACCTCATGGCTACTCCATGTCACAGATGAAGTACAGTAGTTCATAGCAGGTAGAAAGGGGAAGAAATACCCACGTTAAGTGTAATGGCTGTTCCAAGAGGTGAAAATTCAGCTTCAAAAACAGCCTGCCAACAAGCAAAAGGAAGATTTGAACTTCTCGTGACCAAATCAAATACTAACCTCTGCTCATTAGACTCCGAACGGTTTTTCTGCGGGCTACAATGCTTCTTCTTCTTGCTCTCTCGCTCTTCTTCAAGTGACTCCTGAAAGGTCTATTTGACAGAGAAATCATTTTTAAAGATGAATGTCCAGAAGGTTTTGAAGATGGCCAAGAACTAAATTAAGGTTTAGTACAAACTAAAGTAACAGCTATTTGGGAAAATAGGACATCCAAGATAATCAGTTTATTTTCATTATTACTGCTTGCCAATGAAAGTTAAGAATATTCAAGGGTTAATGGTTTTCCATCTTCCAATTGACTGAAGGATTCCTTACTTTAACTAAGAAAGCTTCTAAATAAGATTAACCCCACAGAGCAAGTAGTGCTCTTTCTAAAAAGCTGATCTATAACTGATATAAATTCTAGAATTTATAGGCGATAAACAGTCCCTGTTAAATACAGGTCACGTGTGTTACTGGTATTAACAAATCTCAAAACTCTTTTTTAAAAAGTCATCTCTAACATCTTTTTAAGCCTCTTTGAAATGAACTCCCTCAAAACTTACTCTAAAAGTTTATTCGCACCCATTTTTCTATAAACAACGAACCACTTATAAATTATTAATTTTGATAGCAGAATTAGAGCTGCAACGTAGGGCTGTGCGAAACAGCACCATTCCACTTTGACTTCTGTTTTGACCGGAACAGTGTTTCGTTTCGAAAGCACTGTTCTGTTTCATTTCATCGAAACTGTTTTGACATTTCGCCCATAGATTACTCCGCACCCAGCACCGGGAAGATCAGTGCTGCCACTGGCCCCAGCTGGCAGCACCAGCCCCCTGTGATCCGGCAGGCCGATCAGGGGCCGCACTCATGTGAGGGGTCCGGTACAGCCCCTGCAGCCCTCCTGGGGATGCGGGGGACCGTCCCTGATCGGCCTGCCGGATCACAGGAAGCTGGTGCTGCCGGCTGGGACTGGCACTGGGCACAGCCCGTGCCAGGAAGATCGGTACTGCCACTGGCCCCAGCCAGCAGCAGCAGCAGCCTCCTGTGATCCAGCAGACAGATCAGGGGCTTGCCTGCACCCCTGGGAGTGCTGCAGGGGCTGTGCCGGACTCCCCCTGGGGGTGTCGGTCCCCGATCTGCCTGCCAGATGACAGGAGGCTCCTGCTGCTGGCTGGGGCCAGCAGAAGCACCGATCTTCTTGGTGCTGGGTGTGGGCCGTGCCCAGTGCCAGTCCCAGCTGGCAGCAGCAGCCTCCTGTCATCTGGCAGGCCGACTGGGGGCCTGTACACCCGGGAGGAGTTCAGCACAGCTCTGCAGCCCTCCTGGGGGTGTGGGAGGGCCCCTGATTGGCCTACCGGATGACAGGAGGCTGCTGCTGCCAGCTGGGACCAGCACTGAAGCCAAGTAAGTCTGGTTTCAAAACCTGAAATGTTTTGGAGTGCCCTTGTTTCATTTGAAAGCTGAAACAAAACAAAAGCCTTTGAAACAATTTTACTGTTTCAAGCTCGAAACGCATCGAAACGAAACACTGGGCGAAATTTTGCACAGCCCTACTGCAACAGCTTTTCAGAAAATGTTGTATTTACTTATTTTTTTTTTTTTATGAACCATGCTTACATCAAGATTACATCGAAGTAAATAATTTTGAAGATGTGGATAACGTCATCCACAGGAAACATGCAAGTCTGAGATGCATAGCAAGTCATCTTCTATAGTAATTTAAATTGTGGCCTTCGGTCTACCATGATCCGCTGGCTGGGAAATTGGCTCTGTGGTCGGACCCAGAGGGTAGTAATTGATGGAAGTCGCTCATCATGGTGTCCTGTGATGAGTGGGGTCCCCCCCAAGGCTCTGTCCTTGGACCCATATTGTTCAACATCTTCATTAATGATGTGGACGTTGGAGTAAGGAGCAGAGTGGCCAAGTTCGCCGATGACACCAAACTTTGGGGCAAAGCATCCACACCAGAAGACAGAAGGGCGATCCAGGCTGACCTGGACAGGCTCAGCAAATGGGCGGATGAGAACCTGATGGTGTTTAACACAGAAAAATGCAAGGTTCTCCACCTTGGGAGGAAAAACCTGCAGCATGCTTATAGGCTCAGCAGTGCTACGCTGGCTAGCATTACGGAAGAAAGAGACTTGGGGGTCATGGTTGACCACAAGATGAACATGAGCCTGCAATGTGATGCTGTGGCTAGTAAAGCAACCAAAAAGCTGGCTTGCATCCATAGATGCCTCTCAAGCAAATCCCGGGACGTCATTCTCCCCTTGTACTCGGCCTCGGTGAGGCTGCAGCTGGAGTACTGCGTCCAGTTTTGGGCTCCACAATTCAAAAAGGATGTGGAGAAGCTTGAGAGAGTGCAGAGAAGAGCCACGCCCATGATCAGAAGTCAGGAAAACAGACCTTGCAATGACAGGCTGAGAGCCATGAGGCTCTTTAGCCTGGAAAAGCGCAGACTCAGGGGTGATCTGATGGCCACCTACAAGTTTATCAGGGGTGACCACCAGTTTCTGGGGGAACATTTGTTCACCAGAGCACACCAAGGGATGGATGACGAGGCTGAACGGTTATAAACTCCTTCAAGACTGTTTCAGGCTGGACGTAAGGAAGAATCCTTTACTGTCTGAGTAAGGAAGAATTTCTTTACTGTCTGAGCCCCCAAGGCCTGGAGCAGCATGCCATCGGAGGTGGTTCAAGCACCTACACTGAACACCTTCAAGAGTAAATTGGATGCTTATCTTGCTGGGATCCTATGACCCCAGCTGACTTCCTGCCCTTCAGGCAGGGGGCTGGACTTGATCTTCTGAGGTTCCTTCCAGCCCTAAGGTCTATGAAATCTATGTAAAGATAACCCTTACATAGGACTGGCTATTATACTATGTACTGGGGACCCACACTCCATCCAGAAAACCCCAAACATCCCTAAATTAACTGAACAGAAGCCATTTTAAGACCTAGCCTCATATGAATTAATGTAATTAATGTTGTGGCACCAACAGAAAAAAACGCTACAAGGACAGTGAACTTTTTACCAAAAGTCAAAGAGCATTAAACAAGTGTAAATTTTGATGTGAAGAGAAATGTCCTGAGACACTGTGATATCCTATCTATTGCAGAGCTGACTAAGTTATGAGTCTAAAGTTTATTAAGTTATGCTTCTGACCTTTCTGAAACACTATAACACTACTCTATTTAAGTGCAAAAAGACTATGCATTTACCCTAAGTCTGCACTTACCCAAACTCAACATCAATAACACTCATTAGTTCAGGTGCAGACAATTATCTGAGGTGTTGTGGGCCAGCTCAGCACCCACTCCTCCCCATGCAACAACTCACCAAAACTCTTGTGGGAATGAGGTTGCAGGCAGGCTGGCAGTGCTCAAGAGCAGGAGGGGCAGGCGAGGCCAGGGTCACAAGGCATGTTCATGGGGTGGTGACAGCATGTAGCTGGGGCCTGTGGCAGAGCTGCGATCTGTTGCCCACACACCCCTGTGACCAGGCGCAGGTTCCAGGGACAAGGGCATGCAGGGAACCATGGTGGATTTGATTTAAAGCAAACCAATTTAAATCACAATTTAAGATCACGATTTAAATCGCTGGTCAGGAAACCTCGATTTAACCATTGTTTTCTTCAAAAGGTGCACTCTTGTTCAATATCCTTTATTCATTTAACTTCTTGAAATTTTGCACTTTTAGAGAAAGGCAAGGGCTTGACCGTGTGTACACAAACTGGCAGAGAGACAATATGGTTGATGGGTGGGTAATCAGGCCTGTTACAGCTCATCTCCATATACTTCTGTTAGCAAGAATGTTCTCTCTGGAGACAACAAACTCTCCTTATGCCTAAAGAAGGGTGTTTGTGTCCAAAAGCTTGCAAAGAACAATTTTTCCAATTATTTAGTTGGTCTAATAAAAGATACCACATCTACCTAAAGAACCTTGTCTGCCTATGGATCTCTGGAGACACAAATCAACAGTTTGAGAACTGAAACAAAGCATCACAGACATGCTTAATGGGATTTTCTGGACCAGTGCTTCTCAACCTTTTCCCATCAGGACCCACTTGCCAAGATCAATGGCCTGTCCTGACCAATACCCCCTGGCTATGCTGGCGTGTGACCTCACACCCCTACTGCCCTGCCACAGCTGGTGCAGTCCCTCGCCCCCTTGTGGCTGGGTGCCAAGGCTGTGGCAGGGCAGCATTTCCCCTACCTTCATCCAACTGCTTGGACTGCTCCCACAACCATACCTGGCTGCATCCTGGCCATGCCCCCAGCAGCCGCTTGCAGGCTGGAACACTGAGAAAATGCAGGAATGTTGCCAGCCTGCAAGGGGAAACCTATGCTTTCACACACTTTTCTGGCACAGGCTCGTGACCCTTAGAAACGTTCTCGTGACCCACTTTTAGGTCGCGACCCACAGGTTGAGAAGCGCTGTTCTAGACTGAACACTAAGTCCCACTGGGTAGAGTGGTTTTCTTTAATCTTCACTAATTTATAGGGGAGCCTCTGGGAAACTCATAAGATTGGGCCCCTAATATAGTCTGTGGCCTGTTGTGACCCATTTATAAAACTTCTAGAAAGGTTACATGAATATATTGTCTCAAATAGTGTATAATTAGAAGTTACAATCCCTATTCCATGAGGATATCTTTGAGCTTTAACGTATCTTAAATTAGAACTATTTTTTAAGTTGTTTTTTTTTTTAAAAAAGCATCTTAACAAAAAACACCTCCAAAAATTGTATTAAATGAAAAAGCCAATTTTTTTTATTTATTTATTTTTTTAAGTCATTGATTTTTATCCACCCTGCAGGGAACAGATCGTGGCTTTGCTGTGGCCCGGCCCCACATTGTCACTGCCCCAAGATCCAGGGGTCTCCCTAGAGACTGGCTAGAAGCTGTGCAGGCAGGGTACTCCAATCGCATCTATCTGGCAGAACGTCCTGCCCACACGGCTCCTGACCAGTCTCCTTGGAGACCCTGGGACCTTGGGATGGTGACAGCATGGGACCAGGGCAGAACTCTGGTTCTGTGGGTAGGGATATGTACTGAGCGCATTGTGACTCTACCCTAGCCCCAGCCCCATGCTGTCACTACCCCAAGATCCCCAAGTCTCCCAAGCCCCACCTGCCCATCCTGCTCCCCAACAGCCTGTGCCCCATCCCAGCTACCTGGCCAACTGCCCTGTCTGCACAGGTCCTGCCCCGATGTTGAGTGTGGGACGGATGGGCCAGGGTGCCCAGGCAGTGGGGCTGGGAGATGCCAGGGAGATGCCAGGGTGCCCAGGCAGTGGGGCTGGGAGATGCCGCCACTACTGCGGCTTGTGGGAAATGGAGTCTGGCAGGCGAACTGCCCCAGCCCTGCTGCACGCCTGGGCACATGCCACGGCCCAAGCAAAAATTGCTCTGCAGGCCAGATCCAGCCCATGGGCCATATTTTGCCCATGCCTGCATTAACTACAGAACAGCTGGCCTCAAGTTTTTACATTTCATTAAGGTTCTTTATCTTGTTTCACAGAATGCCGTACGTCTCCAACAGCAGCCTTGAAAGTGACAGGATGTTGTCAGTTCAAGGCTACTTTAGAAGCCTCGAAATTAAGGCTCCTATAAGTTTCATCAAGTATCCAGTTACAGAAAATTGGAGGGGGTGGGAAGGAAACAGTGGGACAAAGACTTCCTATGTACTTAAACAATATGTAAATAACTGTTCATTATAAACTAGGGGTCTGAAACCTGTAGCTTGTGCTGAGGGGAGAAGTGCTGGCTGAGGATAGGTCCTAAGATGTGCCTTCCCAAGACTAGAGGTAGGATGTATGAGCCCAGAGCTGGAAAAAATTGCCTACTGTGGTTGAAAGCAATGAGCTAAAAAGTGAACCAGCATCTTGTTATGCAATTAAATGAGCTATGTACTTATCAGATGTGCATTAGTAGAGTACACGGTATGTGACTTGTTTGGAGGTTGACTGAAAACAGCCAATCTACAGCTATTTGATACAATCACTTAAATGTCACAGAGGTAACATTAAAAGGCATATCAAGAGATTTCTATGATCTATGGATACACTCAGAAGCAAGAATACAAATTATAGGGAAAAAGGATCTATTCAGAAACACTTTTCTTCAGCATTGTTTCTGAAGTGTTCACTCAAAGGACAAACTTTAGGAGAAAAAATACTAATAGTTAACAGTACCTGGTATACATGGATTTGGGGGTGAGGAAGGGCAGGGTGAGGGAGAAGAGCCAGACTATCATATATCCCATCTGACTTTATCCAAGCATAGCTAGCTCTTTTCTGTGGTAACCATGTTAGCTTGATTTAAAGTCAAGCACTTTAGCACACCATGACAGTAGTACATGCAAAGAGAGTTTGTGTGTTTCTACTGCATTCTCTCTCCAATACCCCAGTAAGAAGCACTGTGGGCTAATATGCTTATAGAGACACATAGGAAGACATTCTCCAACTTTGGGATTCATCAATATTAAGAGTCACAGATACATAGAACTCCCCTCTTGTCAGCATGGAGGCGGAAAAAGATCTTGGAGTCATCATTGACTCCAAGATGAACATGGGTCGGCAGTGTGGGGAGGCAGTTAGGAAGGCCAACCGTACCTTGTCATGCATCCACAGATGCATATCGAGCAGGTCCAGAGAGGTGATCCTCCCCCTTTATGAGGCACTGGTCAGGCCGCAGTTGGAGTACTGCGTCCAGTTCTGGGCCCCGCACTTCAAGAGGGATGTGGACAGCATGGAGAGGGTCCAGAGGAGGGCCACTCGCATGATCAGGGGACTGCAGGGCAGGCCCTATGAGGAGAGACTATGGGACCTGAACCTGTTCAGCCTCCACAAGAGAAGGCTGAGGGGGGATCTTGTGGCCTGTTACAAACTGGTCAGGGGGGATCAGAAGGCATTGGGGGAGTCACTGTTCCCCCGAGCACAGCCAGGAGTGACCAGGAACAACGGTCACAAGCTAGCAGAGGGTAGATTTAGGTTAGACATCAGAAGGCGCTATTTCACGGTCAGGGCGGCTAGGGTCTGGAACCAACTTCCAAGGGAGGTGGTGCAGGCTCCTACCCTGGGGGTTTTTAAGAAGAGGTTAGATGAACACCTTGCTGGGGTCGTTTGACCCCAGTACTCTTTCCTGCCATGGCAGGGGGTCGGACTACATGATCTTCTCAGGTCCCTTCCGACCCCAGAAACTATGAAGCAATGACCAGTTGAAAGAGTTAAAAATCCACATAGAAAATGACTGGGATAATTATAGGTATAACGTAGCTCTTTAAAAACCAAACCAAACTACTTGTTTTCATTAGAGAAAGAGTGAAGAACTGTAGAATGAAAAATAGCATGCAAACTGCCATGGAGAACACCCTGTTTTATATCAAAAGACTCTTCCTGAGAGAGAAGAGAAATGCTTGCTATTGAGTTACACTAATGGCAATTTTCCTACATTTTTTTAAAAATTATTTTTACTGCATGCACAATTTCTACGTTTAAAACATTTGACAATCTACACGCATATCTTTCCACTGTAGTTATTAAGAATATTACAACCCATCTCTCAAACCTCTCCACACTACATTCGAATCTCCTTAGGAATGAGGAATGATCTACCATGCCACTGATCGAAGAGGCTCTCTGCTGAGATAAAATTGTTGTACTGTGTAAAAAAAGAAAGCTGTACTGTGTTTCAGCTACTACTAAACACTTGAACCTGGAAATGACATGTCCACTACAACCACACTTTTTTTTTTTTTTTTTTTTTTTTTTTA